TTTTGCATAAGCGTCGGAACCGGGGGGGGGGGGTAAATAGGGGATTAGCCCCCCTTTTTTATTTAAATTTTCATAATTTGAAACGCATATACATATTTTAAATTTAATTGCGATTTACTGAGGGAAACAAGATTATTATTTTCCAAGGTAAATGTTAAATCGTGAATTGTTGGTAGTAAAGACTTTGTCGTGGAAATAATTACTTCAGGTTAAATAATCCTTAATACTAAAGGTTAAAATAAAATCATTAAAAAGAAAGTCTTTAACCTCTAAAACGTTTAATTTATACTCTCATACTGCAATGTGATGAGCACCCGGAGACGTTACTACATGTACATGCAACAGCCTGATTCAGCGATTTTATACATGACCGAAATTATGATGTTTTTCAGGAATCCATTACTCCAGAATCTTCGTTAGTACATGTAGATAAACCATGCACAAAATTAATAGGTTGGAATGTTTTAAAACTGTTCAAACAAATTGTATGAATTTGTAACAATGCGAATTAATTTTAATATTTTAGCAATGTATCATGTTTGCCATTTTTACATTCGGTGTATTGTGTATAACCTCATCAAATAGATTATAAGAAGGTCTAAACATACGTTCAATCTGTTTAATTCTCAATCATGAAATATTTTAGATAGTCTGTTACTTACAATGTATGCGAGCATATTAGCCATAAGTATCCAAAGAAAAATAACATGCGAACAGAAGAAAGGGGGGGGGTTATAAATTTTTTGTACAACATGAGAAAAGTGTTCAACAATAAAAAATTGAGAAGATCAAAAGGTCTTTCTTCAAAATATTCATTTTAAATCGACAGCTAAAACTAATTCCGAAGGAAGTGTCCAAATCAAATACTCTGTGTCGTATCTATAGAGAATACTTTTTAAAATCAAAGTACTGAAAGTACTGAAAAGCGGTTAGCATGCTTTCATCTAATATGTACCGAAAAAGTGCATAAAATGATGATATTTAAATATGAATCTTTGTCCAATATTAGAAGAAAAACCCAACATTCCGTTTTTGTAATACTTTACTCAATAGTAAAACCAATAAATTCCAAACTGAATCACAATATTGCAATCTAATATATCTTAGATGTTGAATCCGCTACTGCTTCTCAAACATCTAAAACATCCTATTTGGGGTCATGTAAGAGTGAATCTTCGATTAGGCAAAGAAAATGGTTCCTTTTCGAAATCCTGGCTAATAGTTCAGATGGGTTTCTTGTTTTTGCACCCAACCAAAACACCCGAGGAGTTTTGTAGTAAAAAGATATGCATTGCAAAAGTTGTTTATGTATATGTTGGGTATCTTGTATAGTTTGTGCTCTTTCGTTTGCATTATTCACGTTTATGGAGATTATCAGACTGCAGAAGATACATGAAATTTATTCCAAAATTACTTTAATTCAACGTAAGACAGTACAATAATGATGATATGTAGCCGTGGAATTAATTTGAGAACTGTTTACCGAGGCTTGAATCTACATGGCCAAAGTTTTGTGTTTAATTATTCATTTTGAAAGGTAGCTCTTGTGAAACAATGGGATGTTAGATGTTTCAGAAGCGGTAGCGGATTATTTTTAAATAAATTTTAATAAGATTGAAATGCATGTTTCAAAATTTAAACATGAGATTTCTTCATTTGAAAGAAGGAAATTTTTTAAAGTCAATTCTCTCTTGCTTGTTTTTTTCTCTGGATAAAAAAAAAATTATGTTGAGTTGAAAATTTCATTGTCTTTTATTCTCTATTGAATTGAAATTAGTTAATTGTAAAGCCTACTATAACAAACAACGTTAAAAAATTTACAAGTTAACCATTTTTAGATTAATGGATTTTGAGTAGTTTAGAAGTACATACTGGCTAGTCACCTTGGAGAGAGAGAGAGAGAGAGAGAGAGAGAGAGAGAGAGAGAGAGATTCAGTTGTGTAACTTTCCAATATGTTAATAAAGAATTTTTCTAGAATCCCTCTTGTTGCTTTTATAGATAATTTATTATTTATATTTTAAAATTTTATTTTGATTTAATTCATTAGTAATAGATAATTTATACATGTGTATATGTGGTGCAAGATTATTCTTATATATATTTTATGCATTTCTCTTGTTCGAGTACATGGTATATGAGAATATTTGAAAGAATATATACACAATTGGCACAATGTGTGTAGTTTATACATGTGTTTTTTAGTCATTTCAATTTTTTCAAAAAAAAATAAAGCAAATTCAAAGAATTGTATTCCCCCGCTTTCAAATGTACATTTAAAAAAATCATTTTTACTTAAGAATTATTGTCACCGCTTTGTTCGAAAATGTAGGTTAAACTATACAATGATCATCAATGGATTAAAAATCATAATACATTTGGAAATGCTTTAAAACAGGTAATGCAAATGTCAAATTCAAATTTTCCAAGTATTCACACCTTCAAAAGATAGCAAATTGATGAAATGTTTGAAAATTATAAATCAAATTGTATATATTTTAAATTTTTGCTTTGCCAAAATTTTTCATACCTCATTCTTCTGTGAAAAAAAATTGACACAGGTAATGCACTTGTCAAATATCATATTTCTCCTATTTTATATTTCAAAATAATTTTATCACCCAAGTTAAATTTATTTTGAAAATTAGGTCAAACAGGAAGGTCAAGGGCCAAAAAATAATAGCATGCTCAGCAACACCTTCTCACTTACAAGTAATACACATGTATACGTCAAATATGAAAGCTATTCTGAATCAAAAGGTATAAGCAAAGATAAAATTTTGAAAAGTAAGTCAAATATCAAAGTCAAGGTCATTGAGGGTAAAAAATTAAAATAGCATATTTTAAAACACAACGTATTGGCACAGGTCAAATGTGAAAGTCTTATTTCTTCTCAATCAAAAGTTATCAGCAAAGATAACATTTTCAAAAATAAGGTCAAGCGTTTAAGGTCACCGGACAGGGATGTAGTTTAAAACAAAAGGCCTTGTCAGAGGTAATATACATGTGAAATATGAAGGCCCTGTCTCTTCTCATTTAAAAGTTATGACCAAGGTCAAAGTTTTTGTGACAGACTTTTCAGATGATGAACTTAATAATGTGTTTCTTTAATACTTTGGCAAAAGCGGGTGATCAAAAAAAGAGATTTGCTGTGTTTTTGCACTAAAAGGTAGATGCTGTATAATAAACTTTCAAAAATAAACTAACAGTTGCCAGAAATCGCGATCGCGCGATACACATGTAATAAGGACCAAATTCTCAGAGAGAGAGAGTAAGTATTGTCAATTCTTTGAATTGTTTTTTAAGAATTGTTAATCGTTATATATTATTTGATACACAGCATATACCTTCATCACCTGCATAGTGATATACATTATATCTCAGTTGATTTAAACGCAAGAGCATCACTATGCATATTGAACAATTTCTTAAAGAATGAATTACGCCGACAATAAAATATTTGCAAAGTCTCGTTTAAAGTCATCATTTCGGTTTTGGTTGATACAATGACCTTGTCAGCAAATATTATTTATCATTGGTCAAATGCTGATGGAGCGTTTTTCATACATGCTATTGTTAGTCCATTATTTATACACTGAATTGAATATTTATTTTTTCCGTTATTTCCTGATCATGACAACGAGCACACGGCGGGTTGACCGGTAGGCAAACCAGTTTACATCCTTTACATTGGGTTAAATTCATTCCATAATTAAAATAGATGTTTAGGAGGTCAATTTTCTTGCTCTTATTTTGTAAAAATTTTTTAATGAACTTTAAATTGAATACTGCATTATCATGAAATCAACTTGCTTGATAAACAAAATTATTTTTAAAAACTTTAATCGGGCTTTTAAAAACACCGACTAAAACTTTTTAGGTCCAAAAGACAGTGTTTTCGTAACCTATGGATAACTAGATGTTCAATACAGAGCTAATTATTTGCCGATATCAGAAAAAATTGATCCAAATTATTTTTTACAAACATTCAACTGAACATTTTAAATACACACTATCAATATAACACCTAAATTACAAAATCACATGTATGTATATATACATTCTTTGACGGAAAAAAAATTATTATTGATATGCTAAACTTCAGCTTAACATTTTAGACCTGTCTTAGTGTAAAATTCAACATCCCCCTGTTCTATTGCAAATTTCTCTGAATACTTCAGTTTAAGACGTTTTTACGTCGCATTTACCTTGTTGACTTTAACTACTTTTTGAGTTGTTATGTAGCATGAATCGCAATTACGCAATTGGCACACCGACATATAATAACACATGTTTACTAAAATTGTCTCTTTTCATCTCCTTTAGATTAAGTTTCAACAAAGATGACAAAAAATGAAATTATTTATTGAACATATAAGAATTCATTTGTTGTACAAATTGAAATTCATTGCATAAAAATGACTAAATAACTATAAAAATATATTAGCAGACTATTTCAAATTGACTCAACATCATATTCATAACATTAATGTAATTATATTAACAGCTAATATATCATAAAAATTTATGATAAATACTTTTTAAACCAGTAATAACAAAACTAAGCCCTTCTAATGGAAATATTGAATGTTATACATTTATCCTTTATATAAATACAGTCAAACCTCGTTATCTCAAACTCGAAGGGACTGAGAAAATATTTCGAAATAACCAAGAATTCGAGATATCCAGGATAAATACTTAAGGAATATGCAGTTTGGTTCAAAATGAAATCGATAGATCCATGATATTCGAGATAACGAAGTTCAATTGTACGTATTTGTGACATATCAATTTCTAAAACAAAGGGTACATGAAGGTACATTAGATCTTTGGCCATAATGGATAACTTGTACAAGTATGCCATGGCTAATATACATGTTTCAAATAGTAAAATACAGTTTCTTTGTTACAAAGGAAAACATTAGAATACACAATAAAACTGGCAGAAAAAGAGTGTAGTTAAAAATTAGATACAGCAAAGACATTTTATTTTAGAGAAATCAACAATGACCATGCAGATAAAAAACAACAACAAAAACCTAGAGTACGTACTTGTGCAAGATCATTTTCATGTTAATATTTTAGTAATTATAAATCTGAATATCAATTTCATATCAGAATCTACATGTAGATAAAATATTCATATTGTTATGATCTATCAAAAGAGATACATGTACATAAATTCTATGTTCATTTATTAGAAAAACAAAAATATGTACAGGGCCTAGACAAGAAAAGAATGACATAATCACTAAGATAAACTTTATTTTCATGCTTTAAGTTCTAGTATGAATTTTTCATGCAATATTAATTACAAAATACAATCTATAGGCTAGATGAAATTATCAGACTTTAATTAATAGCTATATGCATTGAATCTGAAAACAGGTGATAAATAAACAATAGATATGTTAATTTTTCAAAGTTCAGTTTCAGCATTAAGATCATTATACATGTATAACTTTCTTTTCATTGGTTTCACTGGATTGCAATTAGCCAATAAGAACTCATGTAGAATTTTAAGTTTTACTGTTTGATCATATTACACATTGCAGATAAATACACTAAATCGTAACCAAAAACAAACAAACAAACAAATATATAAACAACCAAACAAATATGTATGCAGGCTAAGAAATGTAGGAGACAAGGAATAATGTCCTCTTTTTCACATGTCTAATTTAATTTTAACATACAATAATGAAATAAGATATGAAATATTTAAGCCTTGTATTGTTTCCTTTTTTGTGAAATGATCATATTTCTAACAGTATGCTTTATCTTAGACCAGTCACGTTTTGAGAGTATTGGTTCTTTTGCAATTGCATTTAAGCATGCTAATCGACCAGGTGTACCGGTATGTCCAGATTTGAAATATTCAGAAAACTGGCGCTCAATGGAATTTTTCTCATCCTTTGACCAATGATGTCGTCCACCATTTCTGCTTGTACCTTAAATATGAAATAATAATATATAAATCTCAATGGCTCTCTCTCTCTCTGTCTGTCTGTCTGTCTGTCTATCTATCTATCTGTCTATCTGTCTGTCTGTCTGTCTGTCTGTCTGTCTATCTATCTATCTATCCATCTATGGATCTATGATCCAGGGTTTTCCCTAAGACTAAGTTTTACTACCTATTTTAGTCACTCTTAAGTTCCTATTAAATTGTACTTGTTATGAAAATTTTGTATATTGAATGCTAATATTACCACCGATATAGGTTCCTCAGGGATAGTAGTGTAGAGAAAATTCTAACTGTCAATACATTTAACCCATGGATAGACCTATTAACTGATACAATGATTCCCGTCTGTATTTGGCGGGATATTAATCATGTTAATGGAGACATTTGCATCATATTACATCAATAAAAAAAATTAAATAACCTTATTCTAATCTTGAACATGCTGAACACAGACGCCCGAGACGTTGCCTCAGCCACAAAGAGAGGCGGAAGACACTTTTTTTTTCCCTAGGCTATGGGTATTTTGATCACAGATTGTTTCGTCCACGGTCATTTTGTCACAATCATTGTTAACTTATGTTATTCAGTGAGTTTGATTTACACCAATATACATGATATATCCGTGTGACATCTTTAACTCTTTATAAACTTTTAAAAAATATACTTCTATATTATAAACATAATATAAAAACAATTTTCATTCGTTTTGCTTGATTTCATAGTAAAGTTTAATTTCAAATCAAGAAAGTCTGTAATATCAAATTTTACAAAATGCTGAGAGGGCAAGGATGATTGCACTTAAGGACATACGTTATCCAAACATAAATTTTTATCATTGAAATGACAGTTATTTGTTTAGAATTTGTACAGATGAGATGATCTATTTAACTAGAGTGTGACCTACATTATAACTGTATCATTTAATGACCACTGCAGCATTAGAAGATAAGAATAGGGTATTTTAGCAACTATAATTACAATGTTTTGCATTCAGTAATAAGCATCAATGGTCATTTATCAAGTTGATATATCACTAATTTTTACAACGTAATTATACGACCTCATGTTAATATTCCTACGAAGCATACAATGTACCTGCTGTGAAAATTTATACTGGCATTGTTATCTGAATTTCTTTTCATTATAAGCAATTACATGTATATATGAAACACGATAAAAAATATTCCAAATAATATTTAATTTGAAGAATCTTTATTAAAAACACGGAAGGATTTAATAATTTAATGGGAAGGCCGGAAAGGGGGGGGGGGGGATATCGGGAGATTTTGTCTCCCGCCGGAAGAATCACGACGAAATAACTTCTTAAGTTCAAGTTCAATTTATTATTCACCCAAACCAAAATAATGGTACATGGGGTATAATACACATTAATAACATACATTATATGCGAACTGGTCAGAGGTACATATACAATACAAAAAAAAAAACTTGACAGAAGATTTGGAAAAAAAAATGAACAAGAAACATATTGACGCAATCGTCAAAAATCGGCCGCAAACCAATTTATATAACCGTTGAAATTATTTTAGAAAATGAAATTTGCAGTTTTTTTTTTAAATTTCTTATATTTTTCAGCTAAAATATCCTCGTGACACGAAAAAAAAATGCATGCGACAATGCTTCATGAATAATGCATGTACAATATTACATGTATAGGCAATATAATATGTGCATAGTCCTCTGCGTCTCTGCACTCAGTTTGGTATAACTTAACGAACTCTTGTGAGTTTGCTGTTTAAGTAGTTTTTACATAAAACATACAAAACTAAAGTTTAAACTTAGCTATAGTTCTACCTTAATAAAAACGCAACAAATATATAATATGTGGGGCTCCTCGCGCTCTCTCTCTCTTTTAGAGGATGTTAAACCACCCCCTCCCCCCTCCCCCGAACTCCTTCTAGATCCACCACTACATTACTTCTCTTTCAATCTCTTTGTTTTGGTGTTGAGATGTGGCGGGAAAGCGTTGTATCCTAGTCTCCTGGACGAACATGTCTTAATATTCTTTACTTTTAAGAAATCAATATTTCATCATATTTTTGAAAAACATCTATAGGAAATGTTCAAATATACACTTCATTTCAAATAAATACAGCAGATCATGTTTTAAAAAGAGAAAGTAAAATTGTTGATTAACAACGCGGTCTTTGTTTTAAACTATGCCTTACACTCGTGCCAATATTTTCTCCGCACTTCTGTTATATCAGAGTTTGTCAATCAGGATTGGATGAAATATTTACCCCATTATTTATAAAATTTAATTTTACGATTATTGTGCTTTTTCTAAACATTTAGACAATCTTTGTTTAATATTGACTCGCCAGCGATATGAACATGATGAATGATCAATATTTTTATTTAAATTGTTAACTCCGCAGAAACGCACAGCGACTTAAAACTTTCATATCATATAACCGACCGCCTCCTGGCGGCCGGTAATAAAAAAATAAGAGGGGGAAAATTGTATCAAGGAAGACGGACAACAACACAATTTTTAAGGATAAACATAAATGTGTACATTTATTTAGTTTTTCCCAGCTTTTTTTCGGTTTGAGTTGACATTAGTTCCATGAATTTAATAACATTCGGTCTGTGGGAATAATAATTGCCCAGGTATGGCAGGTATTTTTTCTAACATTAGCTAAAGTGTTACATTCTAAGATATATTGAAATTCATAAGCAGTTTGAGCATTATTACAAAGTGTACAGATTCTATCACACATTGATATAGGCTTACCATACCATCTTTCAGTCTCTACTGGAAAATAATGATTTGCTTATACATGAAAATCAACTCTTGTAATTATTTCTCTAAATCTAGGAGATATCAATATAATTTTTAAATCCAAAATTTTGTTTAAAGATTCTGTACATCTTTCCTTTTGAAGAATTATTTACGTTTAAAATATAAATCTAACGTTAGGATATTTTCATCATGGCAGTAGGAACGGGGGGTGGGGGCATGCCCCCCCCCCCCCAATAATTTTGCCGATATAGATTACTATAGTAAACACAGATACTATTACGCCTGCGCCCCCTCAATAATAAAAACGTCTCATGACCTTTTTTCTTTCTTTTATTTATTTTTTAGCTTGTCAGGAAATTTTTGGTAGTGCCCCTGAAAATGTATATCTGTGCCCCCCCCCCCCCGTTAGAATAATCTGTGTCTCGGTACAAGCCCTTACTGAGTTAAACCGCGTCCGTAGGACAGTAGGCCTACTTATGTATCTAAGACCCCCCCCCCCCTTTGAATTTTAAATAAAAATCCTAGATAAACAATTGTGGAAGAAACTCTTTTCCACCAATGGTTTTTAAAAAATAAAAATTAATTATGGATGTATAGTTTTTAGCAAAATAATGCATTTTTTCCAGCTTGTTCTTGACAAAAAAGTATAAGTTGTCAATCAGCAATGAGGTTTTATGAGTTGTAAGTATGTATTCCATAGCCATGAAATCATCATTTTAGTAAACATACCTTAATAATCACGGTGACATCAGAAAATATATCCACGAGGTCATTCATAAGTCACAGCGTGTATCACTTTTGTCGTTAAACATTTACTTCCGATATTCCGTTTACGCATGCGCAAATTTTTCTGTGTAAAGAAGGGAATTGCAGTAGAATATTACACACACATTGTGTAAATGAAATCAGGAAATTGGCTCCAAATTAACACTCATATATTTTTTATTTTTTCTGATGAAATTTAATCAATCGAAATTTCTGGATCATTTCCGACAAGCGCAAAATGTATTTCCGACCTATGACGGAAATACCCGAGATGATACGATTGGAAATGAATGAGAGCAACACGAAAATGACGTTATTTCAACAGAACACCTGTGTTCGGGTGTCCATTTGAATTCCAGGTGATCAGTTGATTGGTGTGTATTCTTGGTGTCTGGTTCAATTGGCGGTGTTTACAAACACACACACACACACACACACACACACCCTTACGTGTAAGAGGTGCCAATTCAACACCTGAACTCCCCACCCTGCAAATGGACACTAGCCTTAATATCAACGCTATTCAGAAAAGAAAAAAACCATACGTATTATTTAAGTTTTAAGATTATAGTTATTGGATGCAATTGCTCTTTTTTTAACTTTAACTCTGCACCTGCTAAATGAGCACCAGAGTTACACTCCAAATGAACACGTCTTTTACACCCATTCAACTGAACATTTTACATACACACTATCAATATAACATCTGAAATACATATACACTCCCTCAATTCAACACTCTTATTACACTGTAAAACTTAGAACCTAGTGTCTCCAAAAACGGCATTAACAGCATAAGACTTTGGCGTTCCATACTCTTCTTCGCTTTGCACAGATTCAAGGGAAGTTACAATTTTTATGTAATGGGTATTGACAAAATACATGTAACTTCTGAAGAATGGTCTTTCTGTCTTTAAAGTTTCTATACATCTAATTTAAAATCGTATTAAATAAAAAAAATCACCCATTGAGGGATTTGAACATATGAACTTTGTACTACCTCATGACATTCGAATGTGTTTTGGCAGATTTTTATCCTTTAAAGGATAATCATGTATACTGAAAAGGGACTTTCCCATATACAATGTTATCATGTAAAAAATTCCAGACTTTGGAACGTATGCCAATAGACTACCAATACTGCAACTAGAATGGATATACTGGTTAATTTCTTCAGGTTTAAATGAAGAGCAGTCCTTTACTTTTACACACAAAGTATTCTCGCGACAGTATTTTCTGTCTGGAAACAAATTCGTTGATCCGCCAAGATGGCGACCACTTGTCGTGGCAGCCTTTCCAACTTTTTTGAAAGTTATTTACACCTTATATATCAAAATTATATACACATAGCAAACCAAATTAAGGCATATAATATACATGTGGTCTACCACTTGAAGCAGAAATATTTCACTGGTTTACGTCATACAGTAAACACGTATGGATGTATTCAAACAGCCAAAATAACACGTGCTCGCCTTGCCATAAGCCAACCCAAAGTCTTTTTGATTAGAAAATCAAAAACACCATACGTATCTTTAAAGTTTAAAGATTGTATTCTTTGAAGCAATTGCTCTTTTTTAACTTGACTCTGCACCTGCTAAATGAACACCAGAGTTACACTCCAAATGAACACGTCTTTTACACCCATTCAACTGAACATTTTACATACACACTATCAATATAACACCTGAAATACATATATACTCCCTCAATTCAACACTCTTATTACACTGTAAAACTTAGAACCTAGTGTCTCCAAAAACGGCATAAACAGCATAAAACTTTGGCGTTCCATACTCTTCTTCGCTTTGCACAGATTCAAGGAAAGTTACAATTTTTATGTAATGGGTATTGACAAAATACATGTAGCTTCTGAAGAATGGTCTTTCTGTCTTTAAAGTGTCTATACATCTAATTTAAAATCGTATTAAAAAAAAAAAAACACCCATTGAATAAAGATTCGGATTTGATAAGAGGAGTTGCATATGAACTTTGTACTACCTCATGACATTCGAATGTGTTTTGAATGTGCAGATTTTTATCCTTTCAAGGAGAATCATGTATACTGCAAAGGGACTTTCCCATATACAATGTTATCATGTAAAAAATTCCAGACTTTGGAACGTATGCCAATAGACTACCAATACTGCAAGTAGAATGGATATACTGGTTAATTTCTTCAGGTTTAAATGAAGAGTTGTCCTTTACTTTTACACACAAAGTATTCTCGCGACAGTATTTTCTGTCTGGAAACAAATTCGTTGATCCGCCAAGATGGCGACCACTTGTCGTGGCAGCCATTCCAACTTTTTTGAAAGTTATTTACACCTTATATATCAAAATTATATACACATAGCAAACTAAATTAAGGCATATAATATACATGTGGTCTACCACTTGAAGCAGAAATATTTCACTGGTTTACGTCATACAGTTAACACGTATGGATGTATTCAAACAGCCAAAATAACACGTGCTCGCCTTGCCATAAGCCAACCCAAAGTCCTTTGTTAAGAAAATCAAAAACACCATACGTATCTTTAAAGTTTAAAGATTGTATTCTTTGAAGCAATTGCTCTTTTTTAACTTGACTCTGCACCTGCTAAATGAACACCAGAGTTACACTCCAAATGAACACGTCTTTTACACCCATTCAACTGAACATTTTACATACACACTATCAATATAACACCTGAAATACATATACACTCCCTCAATTCAACACTCTTATTACACTGTAAAACTTAGAACCTAGTGTCTCCAAAAACGGCATAAACAGCATAAAACTTTGGCGTTCCATACTCTTCTTCGCTTTGCACAGATTCAAGGAAAGTTACAATTTTTATGTAATGGGTATTGACAAAATACATGTAGCTTCTGAAGAATGGTCTTTCTGTCTTTAAAGTTTCTATACATCTAATTTAAAATCGTATTAAATAAAAAAAAAAACAGACACCCATTGAGGGATTTGAACATATGAACTTTGTACTACCTCATGACATTCGAATGTGTTTTGGCAGATTTTTATCCTTTCAAGTAGGTACATGTATACTGCAAAGGGACTTTCCCATACAATGTAATCACGTATAAAATTCCAGATTTTGGAACGTATGCTAATAGACTACCAATACTGCAATTGGAATGGATATACTGAATAATTTCTTCAGGTTTAAGTGAAGAGCAGTCCTTTACTTTTACACACAAAGTATTCTCGCGACAGTATTTTCTGTCTGGAAACAAATTCGTTGATCCGCCAAGATGGCGACCACTTGTCGTGGCAGCCTTTCCAACTTTTTTGAAAGTTATTTACACCTTTTGATACATGTGATATATCAAAATTATTTACACACAGCAAACAAAATTAAGGCATATAATATACATGTGGTCTACCACTTGAAGCAGAAATATTTCACTGGTTTACGTCATACAGTAAACACGTATGGATGTATTCAAACAGCCAAAATAACACGTGCTCGCCTTGCCATAAGCCAACCCAAAGTCTTTTTGATTAGAACATCAAAAACACCATACGTATCTTTAAAGTTTAAAGATTGTATTCTTTGAAGCAATTGCTCTTTTTTTAACTTGACTCTGCACCTGCTAAATGAACACCAGAGTTACACTCCAAATGAACACGTCTTTTACACCCATTCAACTGAACATTTTACATACACACTATCAATATAACACCTGAAATACATATACACTCCCTCAATTCAACACTCTTATTACACTGTAAAACTTAGAACCTAGTGTCTCCAAAAACGGCATAAACAGCATAAAACTTTGGCGTTCCATACTCTTCTTCGCTTTGCACAGATTCAAGGAAAGTTACAATTTTTATGTAATGGGTATTGACAAAATACATGTAGCTTCTGAAGAATGGTCTGCTTTTTAAGTTTCTATGCATCTTATTTACATGTAAAATCGTATTTAATCAAATAATAAATCACCCATTGAAGGATTAAACCCTTTGCCAAAAAAGACATTATATATTCGTGGGGTATCGCTTTTTCCAATCGACCTACTTTGAGCCAACAATATACACGCAGTTTTTAAATTCCTGAGGTATTGAAAGTTTTTTTTCTCTTTTTAGTGAGCTTCTTTGAAACAAAAATGGAAATTGCAGTTTTAAAGAAAATCCATGTCTCCAATGCTTAACATCAAATAATTTTTGTTTCAAAGAGGCAGTTTTCAAAACAATGCATCCTCTTATAAAAAGCACAAAAACTGGAACATTTTTCTGTGTGGTAAATTTACGTTTCGCTTCATGACAAAATAAAAACCGGTATTGAGTACCCAAATACATTTCTTAATTGTGCAGTAAAAATTTTTAGGGGAGAACTTACGTTATTTTCTTTTACTTATATTTTTAACTGCTACAGCTTTAGGGAAGTATGACATTGGAAGTGCAACACTCTCTTTGGGGGTAGATGAGTGCGCCCCCAGATTTGCATCAACCATAGAGAAGCTGTAGAGTTCTCTATTTAAATGATTTTGACACGATTCAATCAAAATCAGCATCTCATACTCTGAACAGCAGTGTCATGTGTGTTTCACCTCCTGATTTGGAAGTTTATTAAGGAATCACTGTCTAGTTTTGAGAGTTGCCAGGGTATCAACAATAGTGGGAAACATGGGATAATTTGCATAACGGGCGAAGCCCGTATTGCTAAAATTATCCCATGTTTCCCACTATTGTTAATGTCCCTGGCATACTCTCATAACTAGACAGTGATTGCTTATATTTCCATTTCATTATGAAATAAAATTATAGACTTAGACATTGAAACTGTACACTAATAGATTTAGATTACACGAGGACTTCCATGCCAATTTCAATAGTCCTCGCACAATGACGTCAAACACAAAAGCAGCCGCACGAGATTTACATGCATATTTGGCTTTTTTAGCGTCCGATACAGAGACAGATGCGCACGAGATTTGCATGCGTATTAGGCCTCCTTAGCTGCTGACCTATCGACCTGCCTAATTTACATTCCGGCAGAATCATCAAGAAATAAACTCCGACAATTTTCAAAGAGTTATCAGATAGAAAAAATAAATTAGAAATGAAAATATTTTGATTTTAATGTAAATTGCAACAGGTTCGCAGATAGCCTGCATGCAGATTTATTTTAAAAATCAGTTAAGATTTTACAAACGGGTAGAAATGGACGCGGAATTAATTATGTCGCCTTGTCGCGAACATATAGAAAATAAGCATCACAGATAACTGAAGGGCTTGTTATTTCTGAAGCATAATAGTGAGCCTGATAATTTCATCTGTATTTATTTTTATAAGTGTGCATCTATTAATTCATGGGAAAATGGGGGGACATGCTTAGCAAAGTATTTCCGGGTATATATGCATAAGTATCTTGAAGCTGTGAAGAGCTAAGGTCATTCTATCGAAGTCCTCTTCCTGGAACCTCTAT